TCTTTGAACTGTTCTTCGCTTTGCAAGCCTGATAGATGAGTAAACTATGTCCCCGTTCAAAAGAAGCCTGTTGAATAAATGTGTCATGGTGGCAATTCTTGAGACCTTTCTTGTATGGTATTTTTTGAAGGCTCTTATGTTTTTGTTGCTAGATTCTAGGGCTTCTTCAGAATACATTCCCATTGGTAATTCAAGATGAGATATATTATCTGCTCCATGTATTAATATAAAATGGACCCCAGAAGGCATATAATATCGTGGATACAATTCCTCATATCTATCAACTGTTTGGAGACAATAAATTTTGAACTTCTCCGAGTCAATGTCAGCACCACATGCTAGTGCTGTTTGAACCACTCCAAATCTTATAAATAGCTCTTTATCAAATCCAGTGATGTCACACACCTCTTTTGGGTGAGAGAAAAACTTCGTTGCTGTGTTTCCATCATTAGTGGAGCCTGTTCCCTGCTGGACCATGTCCACAAGAAATCACAATTTGTCTCTTACCTACTCTGAATTCTTGTTTTCCTTGCAGCATAAAGCTTTTCATTGCAGCTCCACTTTTTAATGTCCATTTTGTATGAAATGTGTAACACATTCCAAGAACCTGACACGGGCATTGAATATGGAAATTCAATATTTAAATACAGTCTTGTCAACAGGCAGTGTTCTATTAGACATTGTCGCAGGTTTCGCACCACATGCACAACAAGCTGCATGCGAAGAAGCTCCTGTCAAAAAAGTCCTGGTCTTCCCATCAATCATAGTCAATTTGAACTCATGAAATATAATTAAAGTTGACCCATTTTTTAGATTAACTGTTGACGGCTCTAACTTTGAAATCTTCTCTTCCCAGTAATTTGCTTCCCCTACCACTACCTCATTGGTTTCCTTTAAGGGGAGACTATACTGAAAAAATGGCCCTTTTCGGTCAAAAATGTGAAATTGGATTTTCACGAAAATACCTTGTTCAGACCTTTGTCTAGCCGGTACAGCCATTGTTCCTTCTCACAAAATATATTAAGAATCTTTAAAAGCCGACGGAAGGAACGCAGCGTCGCGTAGACCCACGCAAAGTGTACGTTTTCTCGTGTTTTTTCAAAATTTTAGTTTTAACGTTAAAAAAGTTCCTTGCGTCATAAATTTTTATCTACGTGGCTAAAATTTTTACCAGATGTTCCTTAAGCTGTTCCCCACAGGGTCTCTAAGCCGGATTTTTGAATTTTGGTCAGAATTTTTTAATGTCACTAGAGAATGGTCAGTTTTTGGTCAATTTTAAGCAATTTTGAACATTTTTTTGTTTGTAAAAAAGCGCGTATGAAAAAAAAGGTTTTGAGATCGAAAATGAAAAAAGCGGCTTAGAGAACCTGTAGAACAGGTCTTTAGGACAATAAAAACGATAAGTCGAATTTTCTGACATCAAAAATACGACGCAAGGAACTTTTTAGTGAACATATATTTTTAACTTTTCCTTTGAATATCTCCTAAACCGTTTGGCCGAAAATTTTCATACTTCGGCTGAAATAGTTTTGAGTAATATTCTATTAAAAGAAAACAAGAGAAAATTTATGCACTGGTAATCCTGGAAAAACCCATTTTCAGTATAGTCCCCCCTTAATTGTTTAATTCTGAGAGGCTTGCAAAATAAAGTGGAGGCAGGTGTGTCATTTTTCCAAATCATTTGTGGTGTACCCAGTCTTGGGTCGCAATATTCTCCCTAGACTTTATCCATATGAATTTTTAGCAGATGATACCTTTACTTAAAAACATACCTATAACTACAACTACAAGACACATAAAGGTGTCAGCTAGCTTTTACTCGAGAGTCCAAAAACCAAGTGCGTATCCTAACAATATAATAGGGGCTGGCTGCCGGGGCGGGATGGTGCGTCTGTGGTTGGCTGCGGCGCAGTCTGCGCGGAATTCGACAATCACTACCCAGGCCGGGCGTAAACAATGGCACCCCCTCCTCGCGCGCGACGGCCTGCACGCAACATTGACAATCCCTCCCGCTACAGCGCAGAAGCACCGGGCGCTCGCAATCCAACGGGCACGGCGCAGCGGTGCAGGCCACGGCACAAAGGACTCAGGGTTTTAAATACTATCTTTGGAATGAGCCCATACTACCCCGTAGAAGAAAACCTAACGAGTATCATCTGCTTTCATTATCGTTCGTTGAATGAGATTTTTGCGTCCAATTATGAACAAAATAATGCATAATCATAATATTTGTCCTAAGCCTGTTCTGGACATGTGAATTGTTCCTGATTCTTTGTACTTTGTACAAATAAATGTTCATAGATAAGTGGGTGCTACCTCCCTTCCCCGGCTTCCACTTTTCTTCTTCCTCCTGATCTTCGATCGGCGACTACTGAACTGTGATTCAAACGCTGTAAACAAAGCACGTTTTGGTGCAGTGCGTTGGCATATCGCTCTACAGTGTCGGCAAAATTTCACGTTCCTTTGAGCATTGTGTCACTTAACTGAGATTTCAAACGCTAACCTAACCTTCCGTGCAATGCGTCCCGCAAATGCCTTATGCTATGGGAAGGCATCGCACTTCACGTGCATACTCAATTTTATCGCCAAAAAAGGAGCTAAAAGTATTGCCTTTGGATTAACAGTGAAAGCGGTGCGGTGTGTCACATTCGTTTGACCGTAAATTTTCGCCGTTTGTCACGCTCAAACTAACATCGCCGTTTTCACGTGAAAACAAACGTGACGTCACATTCCTTGGCTACCAGTGATGCTAATGCATTGCCAAGCACACACTCTAAATGTCTTACAATGAAATTTGACCTATGTTATTCGTAAGTTACAGTGAATTCGGCGCAAGCATAATACGAAGCAATATTCCTTCGTAATACGAATCTTTTTAGCTATTTCATTGTAAGATACAAAGAAAAACCTTCGTAATACAAAGAAAAACCTTCGTAATACAAAGAAAAACCACCTTCGTAATATGCTTGCGCCATTTCCTTCGTAATATGGGAAATTTCTTCGTAAGACATTTAGAGTGCATGTCAAAGCATTGCACCAATTCATTCCGAGAGTCGGTTTCGTCGCTGTCTCTCTCGCACGTGCAGGACGTCCTATTTAGACAGAGCGACGAAAACGACTGTCGGCATCAGTCTGCTGCCTGTCTAGAGACAGGACGGCGCTCGCGAATGAAGAGGCCTCGCCCCGTCGCTGGTGCTTCGTCATGGCCTAAATCCGCGCGTCAAAAGGGAATGCCCTCCACTCGCAAGTGGGGCTTATGGCCGATTCTCGCACATGTGCAGCAGTGACTGTCAAAAGCACACAGAGCTGATAAGTGTTTTTACGCCTTTCCTGAAGTGGAGTGGTTACTACGTTCGACTTCAAGTTCTGCACTCTCAGCCTCTTGACTTCATCGTCAGGAGCCGACTATAGCCCACAGCACTAATATGTGGTATTTTCTCCTTAAGTTTGAACAATTTTCTTTATAAAATTGTTCAGGTTAGGCTTTTCTTTACACAATTGTTAAGGTTTTCTTTTTTGTAAATAAGTTCTAACGAAAATGCAGGTAACAATAACCGCTGTGCGTCGATGGAAACTCCGTTTCTATCGCTGTGTTTTCGCCTTGATTTATGGCGTGGATGGAAACTCTGTTTCTGTCGCTGTGTTCTCGCCTCATTTTTTGGCGTCGTCAGTTTCTGTCAGTGCGGTGCTCCGCTTTACTTAAGTAAAGGCTGCACGGATTATTTTTTTCCTGCCACTGTTCGATTTTCCAGTGGGACAGTCTCGATGCGTTATGCGTAATGCAGTTAATAATAACAAAAGCGGGGAGCACTCATTACTGTTGCAAACAAAGCCCGTGATTCTTTTTATGTCAATACCTGAAATTAAAGGTCGATAGCGAGTCTACTGCCTATTCTAATGCTTGGGAAAATTCTTCTCTACACTGTAAAATATATTGTGTGAATTAACGACGGAATATTTTCCAAAGATTTTTGGGAATGTCCAAAAGTGCACTGTGAATGTTTCTTTCCCACAGGACTTTTTGTAAATCAACGGAAGTTCGTCTTTAATTTACAAAGGTTCGTAGTAAATTTACGAAGAAAAATCGTAAATGTTCGAAGGGCTTTGTAAAGTTACGACGGGCTTCGTTAAAGTGCGACGGGCCTTCGTGAATAAACGAAGGGACTGTTTGCAATTATTTTTTTTGTTAAAGGATCCGTCGTTAATATCAGACCTATTCTTACGAAGGGTCTTCGTCTATTAACGAAGGTTCTCTGTAAATTTACGGTGGATCTTTGTAGATTTATAAATGTGCTACGTAAATTTTCATTGTAATTGTAAAATCGATAGAGGTGCTTAAAACAATTAAGGTCAGGTCGGGGAAGAACATCCACTTTACAAAAAATGTCCTGTCAATGCCGTTAATTTATTACCAATGTTTGCTGTTATGCCGTTCACGGCGTTCACTGTGATCTGGCCACAGTAAACGCCGTGAATTGGAGCCTGATTTGCAGTACTTCGGTGCTCAGGGGCGTCAAACTCACAGTGTTTACTGTGAACCAGATCACAGTGAACACCGGGAACAAGATCACAGTGAATCGCGTGAGCATATCACAGTAAACGCTGTGAATTAACCTACAGTGAAAACTGGTAACAAATTAACGGCATTGACAGGACATTTTTTTTACCGTGAGGGGGCTGTCGCCTTAAGCTTCTTGCCACTCCGGTCCGCCCGACCTTCCGCCTTTCTTGAAATTCTTAAAGAAACCGCCTAACGGGGTTGACCACATATTTTGAAAGATAAAACTTCGAGGATGATCGTCATGACCTTTCCATATCATTCACTCCTGTAAATTGCAATAAATACCACGAAGCTAGTTCGTTCTGCAACACTCGTTCACAGCGCTATTCGCAGAACGAACTAGTCGAGCTCTAACTCTCGTTTCAAGATGCGGCCGGCATCTTTGTGTGGTTGTGTGTCACAAATTTAAACATTTTTATCATTTGAGTTGAATCCAAACATGGAAGGTGATGGTTCTGAGCTTGATTCATCAGATGAGCTTATTCGTTTGGTCATCGAAGATGACGACGAGGGTGATGAAGGTAAACCAGCAACCAGAACTCATTCTGTTGATATCATATTACTTTGAAGGTGCTACCACAATGGTCTCTAAGCCATATCATAATCAGCATCTCATAGTTGGTGAGATATGGGCCTGTAGCACAGGTTTGAGTGTTTTGAGCCGTAAATTTCTTCATTAATTTTAATCTGATACTGTCTTCGTCTGATGCATGCTGTCTGCCTGCTCTCTCGGAGTCTCCGAGAGTCCTGCTGTTCATTGGAGTAAACTTCTTTGACCTCTGTCCTGCAGTCCGAGGAATTCGAGCTTCGCGACGCAACTAACCTGAAGAAGATTGTCGTAGGAATCCCGGGCGCTATGAGGACACCTTATGAAACAGGGGTGTTCGAGGTTGAACTGCATGTTCCCAGAAAATACCCCTATGAAAGTCCTAAGGTAAGGTATATGTTTTCAAATGTTTTCACTTAAGATTTAATAAGTGTAGTACTTTATTAACATAGTTTTTTCCCTTTTTTCAGTTTCTCTTCAAGACAACAATTTTTCATCCGAACATAGGACCAGATGGTGTGGTCTGTGTTGATATGCTAGACGATAAATGGTTTGTATCAACTAATTTGATAATTTTGTTTCCGCATTCACAGTTATTTTCCACCTATGTTCCTGGTTTAATAAATGCTTCACTTTTTAGGTACCCATCTTTTACTTTACAAACAGCATGTCTCTGTATGCAAACATTAATGAGAGACCCCAATCCGTTATCACCCTTGAATGTTGAAGCGGGAAGAATGATGCGTCGGGACCAAGAGATGTTTAATAGAACAGTTATCATGTGGACCAAGATTTATGCCAAAGGAACACTCAGCTTCCCTGACTACGAAGAGCGACTCTCCATCATCAGTGCCCTGAACGGAGACATAGCCGAAGCTTTGAGAGCCCTCACTTCCCATTCATGGGACCAGCATGAAGCTTCCCAACGGGTCACTATTATTCACCCCGAGGATGAATAACTTAGCTCATTGTAGTTCAACAGGTGAGGCCTATCAGGAGAGCTACAGTCTAAGTTCGATTTAGTGTTGCCCAAATTAACGTTGTCCTGTTGACCGCTACATGTAACGAATGCCGCGTAACCGTTTGAAATTATACGCATCTGTCACTAACACTAAATCGAGCTTATACTGTACCACCAAAAGACGATCTGGGATTAGCTGTGCAACAGCCCACTCAACATTAGGGACAAAGTGGAGATTTCAATACCAGAATTTTCTTGACTTTGGTATTAAAATCTCAGCTTTGTCCTGAAGGGGCTACCACAATGGTCTCATACTTCACCCATATCATAGTTAGCATCTCATAGTGAGATATGGGCCTGTAGCACAGGTTTGAGTGTTTTGAGCCGTAAATTTCTTCATTAATTTTAATCTGAGGATGGCTCAGAATACTCAAACCTGTGCTACAGGCCCATATCTCACTATGAGATGCTAACTATGACATGGCTTAAGTATGAGACCATTGTGGTAGCACCTTGAGTGATAGTATTATTGTTTTAAATATGTGTTCAGGTCGTCAGCTTCGTTTGTTAGTCAATGTTGATGTATGGAGAGCATCAGGTGATCCAACTTTTGAGGAACACTTCCGCATGGACACTGCAACTTTTGAGGTAATATTTTTTAACATTGAGGAAGATGAAAAGAAATTCTGCAAAAGGTGTTGATCTGAGCTTTAATGTAACTTTTCAGATTCTGCTAACTGCTGTTGCAACTCACATAGTGAATTCGGGGCGTGTTGTACGAAGACACAGATCTGATCTTGACATTGTTCTCATGATGGTGCTGCGGGTCCTTGGCAATTCTGACACTTTTCGGTCTACTGCTCTGAAATTTGGTGTTTGCAAGGGTTCACTACCATAACAAGTGTATTATTGAATGCCTGAAAGAAATGGCTCCTCAACATGTGCAGTGGTCGGACAATGTTGAAAGTGAAATGATTGCTGCCAATTTTGAAACCTTGAATGGCTACCCCGATGTGGTCGGTTGCATAGATAGCTGCCATATCCAAGTCACACCGCCTCTAGAACAACCTCAACGCTACGTTGGCAGACATCATCAGTATTCAATCCTTTTACAAGGTGTTTGTGATGATAGTCTTTTTTTCCGTGACATCTATGTTGGTCAACCAGGAAGTGTAGGGGATAAGAGAACCTTCAAAGGAAGTCCCCTTGGTCAAAATATTCTTAGAGACCCAAATATTGTTGGGGATAAGCATCTATTAGGCGACAGGCTCCCTATCAATTTAGTGAGAGCATCAGGTGATCCAACTTTGAGGAACACTTCCGCATGGACACTGCAACTTTTGAGGTATATTTTTTAACATTGAGGAAGATGAAAAGAAATTCTGCAAAAG